TCCCTAGGTCTCCACTTGGCATGTGTACCTCCCCAGGGGCCCATCCCATGGGTTCTGCCTGTCCCCAAGGATACAGATCAGTCCCTGGGGCTAGTCCTCCAGCCTTCCTCTAGTCCTTTTTGAAACATTCTGGAGGCCCTCCAGGGCCTGCATGTGCCCCAGCGTGGACTGTTGCATTTCTCCATTTCTCAAGCACAGTGACTGATGGGGTCACAGATGGACCTTTGTCACGGCCCCAAGGCACAGCCCCTCCCTCCTGCCTCTCTGCCTGCTTTTCCTTCCCTGTTCCCAGCACAGCTCTTTTGGGCTACCCCGTAGAGACAGAACCGAGATTCTTCCAGTACGAATTCTGCTTTCAGGGCTGAGGGCAGCAGGAGCAGCTGGGGAGGGTGGCTCGGGGCAGCAGACCGGCAGAGAGGAGGTTTGCTGCCTTCATAGTCACACACGGTCAGGTAGCCCATGGATGGAAGAAAGGATGGATAGCGCCACAGTCACTGGAAAAATCAACAACGGATAATAATAGCAATCTTGCTTCACACAGCTCTGCCGGGGGACAGAAAGAGCCAGCTCTCTGAGCTCCAGCAGTGAGCACTTACTAACTTTAGTCTCCTTAATTATATCCTAGAATCTCTTGAAAGAAATGCCACTCTGGTATCTCCAAATTAGGAATTCTGTGATTTTGTCTAAAACACCCCCATGTGTCTGGTCGGGCTGAAGTGATTCTTGGTGCTTTGGGGGCTCATGAAGTGGCTTTAGAGCCAGGGTTCTGGTGGGGGCTCCCGGGAGCTGTGGGCATGTGTGGGACATGGGCTCAGATCCTGGCGTCTGGGCCCCGCGTGACTGCGAACCCACTGTCCCTGCAGGAGACCCTCTGCAGTGCGGAGCCTGGGTTGGGCAGTGTGCTCTTTACATCGTGATCATGATTTTTGAAAAGTCTGTCGTCTTCATCGTCCTCCTCATACTTCAATGGAAAAAGGTTTGCCTCTTGTCCCTTCTTTAGGAGCTCCTTGGGATGCCAAGCAAGACGGGACTTGTCCCCTACCACCCACATGCCCCAACCTTATTGGAAAACCAAATGTGTTCTTTTTTTTCCCTTTTTTTTTTTTTCCCACCTCCACGAATGCGGTCTGGATTCTGTGTGCTGTGGCAGCCTTTCGGGAGCAGGAAGTTGTTTTTTCACTTAGCATCCGTCTATTTGAATTGTGCAAATGTCTGCCCTGCATTAAGCTTTGAGACACGTAAAGCCATTGGAGATGAGTCTGCCCTCGGGCTGCTTCCTGGCTGACTCGGTCTTTAGGCCTCCCGCCTGTAACTGTCAGGAGGGTGTTCGCTCCATTTGCATCCTCACCCACCACTCTTGGCCAGTGGTTTAATCAAGACTTTGGGTGCCATAGGAGGTACCTGGTCCCGCTGGCCACACGTGTTCCCAGGGGTCCCTCGGCCCTGCCCTCTGGCCCCGGTGCTGTGTAGATAAGCCTCTACTGCCCAGTTCCCCCACGTGGCCACATGAAACCAGCCAAAGAGCCTTCGAATAGCTCAGAACTTGGCCTTCCTTTGGTGGTGGTTGTGTGTTTTTTTTTTTAAGATTTTATTGATTTATTTGAGAGAGAACACGAGCACAAGAGGGGGGAGGGGCAGAGGGAGAGGGACAAGCAGACTCCTTGCTGAGCAGGGAGCCGGAGGAGGGGGCTCGATCCCAGAACCCTGAGATCATGACCTGAGCCAAAGGCAGACACTTAACCAACTAAGCCACCCAGGCGCCCCTCTTTTGGTTTTATTTGTGTCTGAGTTTTATTTTTCAAGAAAATAAGCCAAGGCTTTTCAGAGCTGTTGTCCTTCAGGAGGTGGCTGGGGTGCAGGATTTCTGTTAGGACGTGGCCTGGCGTCTCATTGCTAGTTTCTGTAATGAGCATCCACCGACCTCATTCCCTCCAGCTCCCCGAAGCCCCACCACCCCCACTCTCCGTGCCTCCTGGTGTGTGGGCCCTACTCTGCTCGGTGGTTGTAAGCCCACTATGTTTCCCAAGTCCACAGCACTGGGAAAGCTGCTAAAGCCCTAACTGCTCCAAGTGCTCTCCGAGGGGTCTGTCCCTTATTAGCAGTCACACCTAGGGACAGACCATGCAGCCCTGGGCGTGAGGCACTGTTCCCATCAGGGTTCTGGGGGAGTGTCATCTAAGCTAAGCCACCCTTCTCAGGGCCCCATGGGTGATGTGTGCTGTTACCCCCCTTTCCCCAGGCGCCTTCTCTGTGGTCTCTCCCTACCTCACAGAGTCTGCTTCTCTTTACAGGTGGCCCTATTGAATCCCATTGAAAACCCAGACCTGAAACTGGCCATCGTCATGCTGATCGTCCCCTTCTTTGTCAATGTCAGTGCCATGTTGCATTTTACCCCCATGTGCTCTCTGCCTTCCAGTGTCCTGTTCACAGTTCTGAGTCTGACAGACAAAGCCCCTTACAGCCTCCAGGCCCCTCCCCACCCCAGACCTGGAAATGGCAGGATTGCTTCCTCAGCAGTCAGATCCCTGATCCAGGCTCCCCGTGGAAGAGGGAGGGTCCTGGAAACTTTGTCTTGCCCTCCCTGCCAGGGGACCTCCTGCCCAGGAGGCCCTCCACTTGCACAACGAGCAACTTCTAGGTCGGGATATTAGAAATTCACCCCTGTCTTATCCCTGACCCCAGAGCTCCAAGAGAAACTCATGAGCACGCTGGCTAGAAGTTAGGAAATAGAAGGAACAATAAAGTTGCCTGGGGCTGACAGTCGTGGCAGAGTGGGCGGGCCAGCCTCTCAGCCCAGAAACCTTGCCAGCAGCTAGTCCCCATCAGTTACCAGCACTCAGGGTGAAGAGGGCCAGGATTTTCTTGCTGGCTGTCTGATAAGAAAGCAGAAGCAAAGGACGTGGAGGGTGGGAATCTCTTTGTACGCTTGTGAGAGAGCTGGGGGACTGGAGGAGGCTTTTCTTCCCCTTGTTCTGGACGCTGTAATCTGGAGCGGGTGGGAAGGATGGCGATGGGCTCTGCTGTGCTTTGACAGATGGCTTATCCCAGAGTAACATGCACGTTTCCTCCCCACAGGCTTTGATGTTTTGGGTAGTGGACAATTTCCTCATGAGAAAGGGGAGGACGAAAGCTAAACTAGAAGAAAGGGGAGCCAACCAGGACTCGAGGAATGGGAGCAAGGTCCGCTACCGAAGGGCTGCGTCCCACGAGGAGTCAGAGTCTGAGGTAGGGCCGAGCCCTCATGCCGCGCCCCGTCCCGAGGAGGTCCCTGGCCTCTGTTTGCATCTGGTCTTCCCAGCACTGGCCGGGGGGGAGGAAGAAGAGGCTGACAGCCTCCATCCAGCAAGGACCCATTCCTGCGGCCCCTGGCCTTCCCACGGCAGGGAGGTGGAGCACCCGATGGGGTGGCAGGAGCTCGCCTCCGACAGTCTGGACCTCCGCCAGTGGAGGAAGACAGGGAAGGGAGGGGCTGCCTTGTTCCAGGGAAGCTGGCAAGGACTGTCCTGGGCCTGATCGCAGACCTTTAAGCATTAAGGTGTTGCATTCCCTGCTCACCACTGCAGAGCAGCAGAGGTGTTGGCCAAGCCCACTAGAAACTTCTAAAACATAGGGGTAGCCAGACCTTCCGGGGAACCTCCCCTCCCCTCACTGTCAGGTTTCCTAGGTTTAAAGGTTTGGACTTCGGGGAGACTGGTGGTCACAGATAGGAGCATAGAGGCAAAGTGATGCTTCTGGGCAGCCTGCACCCCTCCATGCTACAGGGTGAGGGCTGCCCCCTGAGAGGCCTCGTCAGCTTTCTCAGTGTGCCCAGCTCTGCAGTGAGGGTAGGGCTGTGGAAGTGTCTTCCCCAAGAGACCTTCAGGCTGCATGAGGTGAAGGTGAGCGTCTGAAGAGCTCCTTCTAAGACGGTGTGATCCTTCTGACACTGAGGCGTTCCCAAAGCCCTGTGAGCACCCTGGGACGGTCTGCTTAACTCCTGGGGGCATCCTGGAGGGAGTTTTGGAAGCTGGCTAGAAGAGTAGGACAGAGGGTAAGCCCGTATCTCTCCAGGTGTCCCTAGGATCTGGCATGGGGCCTGTCCTGTCGTAAGAGCCTGACGAACGTTAGATGAATGACAAGCAGCACCACAGGCAGAAGCAACCACTCAGGAGCAGTCGTGGTCACGCGGGGTGGCCTCTGGGTCACAAGAAACCCCTTGTGGCCAGAGCAGCGTGTGTCCCATAGGGTAGGATGGAATGACCTGGAATGAGGTGCAGGCGAAGGTCTCAGCCAGACGGGCAAGGTGCTTGGTGATGGGGGCATGTCTGGACGGGCAGTAGGGAGCCAGAGGGAAAGTGTACTCAGGGAACCCCCCAAGGGAAGTGGTCCAGGGAGAGGCGACGCAGCTGTCCTGCCCCGGGAAGAATGAGCTCAGGGTGCACCGTCCCTGTGCTTCCCCGGTGCCGAGAGGCCTGAGGAGCCAGCAGGCAGCGTGGCAGGTGGGCAGGAAGGGACTGTTTGCCTGGATGCCCTTGCTCCACGGCGGGGTCATTCCAGACGCTCAGGAGCGTGCAGGGCTCGTCTGCACAAGCTGCAGAGTGTGTTCAGTGCACTGAGCGCGGTCTACCTCGTGTGTGCTCCACAGAGGTTCTCTTTTCCTTTTGAGGGGACTTTTCAGTTTGCTTCTGCTGTCTGTAGGGCACCTTCCAGGACCTGGGACGGCCTGTGTCCAGATTGGGCTTCTTTGCCAGGATGACCTTAGGGTGGGGGTCCTTGCCGAGTTTGCTCTGACCGGGGTTCCGTCCCAGCTGGAGGTTGGCTGCAGAAGCAAGGGGCGGCCTTGTCCGCTCGGCGCTGGCTTCGGGAGCCCGTGAATACACCGGGAGTAAGTGACGTCTGCGCTGGTCTCGGGGCCTTCTAGACGGGTTAGCACCCCGGTGCCAGGGTGCAGGGAGGGCAGAGGAAGAAGGCCCAGCCAGTGGTGACTCAGGCCATGCCTCTCCACCGCCCCAGATCCTGATCTCCGCCGACGACGAGATGGAGGAGTCTGACGTGGAGGAGGACCTGTGCCGACTGACCCCCCTGAAGCCTGCGAAGAAAAAGAAGCACCGCTTCGGGCTGCCTGTCTGACGCGCTCCTGTGCTGGGGTCAGGTGTGGGGGCCCCGCCAGGTCAGCAGGCGGTCGCTCCGCAGTGCCCTTCCTTCCCTCCTCTCTGCCCCTCCTCTTCTACCTCCAGTCCTCTCGCTGTCTCCGCCCGCTCCCAGACTGCTGTCACTTGCCAGAGGGAGGCCGGGCCAGCGCCGAGGGGCTCCAGGCAGCCGGAGGTCCCCACTCAGTTGCACTACAAACACTGACCAAATATGCAAGCGAGGCATTTTGTGTGTCTGTCATTGTCCCAAACGATGTTGCGAGGGACCCCGAAGCCCCGTCCTGTGTCTGGCTGGGTGGCCTTGAGGAGGAAAACTGACGCGCACACAGACTGGGTAGAGCCTTTCCCCAAGGCTCTGGGAGTGTGAGGACGTAACACGTTTTGGGCTAAAAGTCACTCATTGACCAAGTTGGAACCGCAATGCTTTCTTACTCCAAATGGCTTTGTAACTACTGATTTCTAAAGCCGGTTTTATGAGCTGTCACAGTGTTAATGTTTTTTGAGTATGTGTTTATTTCCTATGGGACTAATGAGCAAAACATAGATTTTTAAGTCTTCCGTATGCTGTTGACTTTTATATTTTTAAGTTATATTTTCATACTATTGTATTTAAAAACTCTTTTTAATCCCCAAAGAAATGGGTTTGTCTGCCTTTCGTGGGATGTGAACTGGCGGGAAGAAGAAGTCGGGAGTTTTTGTATTCAGGATATTTTTAGGTAATCTGCGATGAGATGAGGTGAATGGTCCCGGCAGGAAGGGAGAGGAGCCCTTGTCTGAAAGGGACGAACCCAGTGGCTCTGTAAAGGCCGGGCCTGAGCGGGGAGGCAGCTGGTCTGAAGGCCAGTCTGAGGCCGGGGGCACGTGGGTCCAGCCGCTTGGCTTTCTGCTGCCAGTTTAGAGGTCTTAGTTAAACGTGGCCAAGAACAGAGCCTAGAGGTCTGTGTCTAGAGCAGCTGAGACCATAGAAGCCAGCCCTGTGTTCCCTGCCTCCAGTGCAAGGTGGAGCCTTTGGAACCAGCTGCTGGACCAGCCCCAGGAATTCCTCTCGGGCCGCCGTCTGTTTGTTGTCTTGGTGTTGTCCCTCTGTTTTGCACAACAGTCTGAGGAGCGCCTGCCCGACCCAGCCATCTGTTTTTCACGGCCTCAAAGCAGCAGGGCAGCCGGAGACGGGGCAGGTCGAGGTGCGAGAGCTGGCTGTCTGCATGCACGGGCAGGGGAGGTGCTTCGAAGCCCAGGTCCCCTCCCCGGGGAGTGGCCCTCACTCCTCAGCAGGGCCCCAGGCCCCTGTAGCTTTGGGAGTCTGCTGACCACAGCGGAGTGGGTTGGCCTGAGCGCTCGCCCTGCTGTGGGAGGAGCACGGTGGGGCAGCCCGTGTTTTGTCGTGTTTGGGGAGCAAAGTGGTGGCTAGTGAGGGGTGGTTTTTCCTGTATCCTGAATTTCAATAAGGGCTGTAGTCTCTGAGCCACGGTCATAGAGCCAGCTGACCAGGGGATGGGTGTCTAATCGCAGAGAGCCTTGTGGTGTGTGGGCCTGGAGAGCGTGGCCTCGCAGGCTTGACCTTCCCTTCCCTTCCCTTCCCTTCCTGTGTGTGTGTGTGTGTGCGTGTGCGCGTGCATGTACACACACACACACACACACACACAGAGTTTGTATTCCCTGGAGTGTTTCCTGCAGTCACTGGGGGTTTTTCTGTGGTGCATTGTCCCAAGAGACCAGATGCAGAGGGCCATGGTCAGAACCTTCTCCTGAGCTGTCCTCCCTCTCTGGGATGAGTCTCCTTACCACCTGCCCCGAGGTGCCTTACAAGGTACAGCTCTTTACCCGGCCCTATGGCAAGTGTCACAGTGCTTGAGAAACCATGGGACACCAACTGGATATTGTGTGCTATCCATCTGATCTGTGCAAATGTGGACCTTGGCCAGGGCACCCATGATGGAAGCTTGTAAGTCAGGGTCATGAACAAGTTTCTTGTACCTAATGGAAATAACCTGATGAGGTAGAACTCTCATGTGTGAATGAAAGGAATCATTGTTAGCCTTATTTCCGTTTGCTGTCAGTGGGGTGTTGACAATGGCAAGGGGGGGATGTTGGTGAGATCTCAGGCGGCAGTGGCTTCTTGGTCTGCTCAGAAGACCTTCGAGGTAAAGGCCTGTGGCCCATCAGTTAACCCTCAGGCACGCTGGTGGCCTCCTGCCTCAAGCTTTAACTCATGCCCCTTCCTGGCAACAGAGAGTCCCAGGCGACTGTTGACTGTCATGCCTTTAAAGGGAAAACCTGTAAAGGCTCAAATCCTAGGCAATCTAGTCCTGTAGCCTGCAGCCCAGAGTCCCCATCAGAAGGCGCCCAGGAGCCCACTGTGCCGTCCAGAAAACAACTCACTGGCCTTGCTGCAGCCAAGCCAACATAGAAGGCTCTGGGAACTTCTCATTGGCCAAAGCAGCCACCTTATAGGGTGCAGGGCTGGCTTTTAGAAGTTGCACACACTTCTGACCAGGAGTGGAGAGCTCTCTGTTTTACCCTATGAAACACTGGCAGCTCTGAAGGGCTTTGCTCTGGGTGAGGGACTTACGGTCCAACGGCCGTCAGCACCTTGAGCTCCTGGCCCAGTGGGTGGGTGGGTCTCATTTGATCTCTCTTTTCATGATGTTTATTAGAACTCAGAACTGTCTGAGCAAACCATGGCCTATTTCCACTGCCCTTCCGGTGGGGGTGTTTCATCAGTGGTGGTAAGATTCACAGAAACACATTTTTGAAATGAAAGGGAAGACGATGTACTTACATTGTAAAATGGTTTACAATAAAGTTTCACATCTTAATACAGTTTTTTTTTAAAAAAAAAAGAAACTATCACATGTGGTTGTTGGTTGTGTGTTCTTTAGAGCTGAAACAGCTTAGTGGGGTCAAGAAAATTTCCCCAGTGAGTTAGAGGGTTCTCCCCAGGGGCACCTGGGTGGTTCAGTCAGTTAAGCGGCTGCCTTCGGCTCAGGTCGTGATTCCAGGGTCCTGGGATCGAGCCTCGTGTCAGACTCCCTGCTCAGTGAGCAGCCTGCTTCTCCCTCTACTCGTGCTCTCGCTCTCCCTATCTCAAATAAATAAAATAATCTTTATAAAAAGAAAAAAGAAGACAACAACAACAACTCTCCCCAGGAAACCAAGTGCGAATGAACCTGCATCACCTGGTGAAGACCCAGGAGCCAGAATCTGCCAAAGGAAAAAACTAAGCATACTCTTGCCTTTTCCACTTCCCTGCCTACGCCAGGAAAAGGTACTCCAGCTCCCCCTGAGGAGCAAGTGGTGCTGGGGGGAGGAGGTGTGAGCAGTGAACAGCCCCCATCCTTGTCCCTGAGGCCACGGGGCTGGAAGGCAGGTGCCTCCCGGGCAGAGCCAGCTGTGGGGATGGTGCCGAAGCGCCCCTCCCAGCCGGGCTTGCCCTCCGTGCCCCGTGGGTGGCCCTGGCCGTTGGAAGGCATTCCTCATGTCAGCGCTTGCTCCAGATGGAGCCTGGCAGCCCTCACATCGGCCTGCTGGGGCTTGGGGTGGGATTGGAGGTATGACAGCAGTAGAGTGGCATTCGGGATAAGCAAATGGCAGTGCCTGGTGGGGTTCCGTCTGCTTGGAGCCTCCAAAGATAAAAATAATCGCCATCACAGACTGACAAGGAGCTCGGGGTGGCTGACACCCCCGGCCCCATCCACTCCACACTCACCCCAAGTGGAGAGTCCTGCCATGCGCTGCGAGGGTCTCCCCTGAGCCCCACAGCTCAGTGCCTGGAACGGGCTCGGATGTCACCCACCCTCTTCAGCAGCCTAAATGCCCTCAGGCCGGGCACCGTTGGGTGACCTCATCCAGTCAGAGGCTCTGTGCGCTTCCCTGCCTGCACTCACCAGTGCCCTTACCAGAAAACGGGGTTCTTCCTGGTCTTTCCTGGGCACTTTTACCCCCTGCCTCTTTGTCCCTTTGCTGAACTTGCCCCGGGAGCCAGACAGAGGACAGGGGCAACAGCCAAGAGCTGGAGCGGCTCCCCGGGCTTCCCTCGGCCACAGCTGCTCCCCTGTGAACCGTGGGGGGCCGCGCCACGAGCACGTGCTCCCGAGTGTCAGACACGGGAAGCTTCTGCCCTGCTGGGCAGGGATGGAAAGTCTCTTGCCTCTGGAATCCAGGGAGCGGGGGGAAGAGAAGGAAAAACAAGCTCAGAAGGGCTCCGCCTGGTGCGGACCCCCCGCCCCTCCCCGGGGACTGCGTGGGGATGGACCGTCCCGGGGGTGGGGGGGGGTGGCGCTCAGACTGCACACAGGCGTCCACACTCCCGTTGCTCACCGCCAGGCCCGGCCCCCCCTGCCGGCCTAGAGCAGCTGTTGCCAAGGGCACAGGGCCTCCCCCGCCACCGGCTTTCTATAGGCCACAGCCCCCCAGGCGGCAGTGCTCAGCCAGACCCTCTCATCTCTAAGAATAAACTCTGAAGCCAGAGGCCGTGTGGACCTGAATCATCGGGACACCCGTCGAGGAGGGGAGTGGCTTGCCAGGACAGGCAAGGGGACTATATAAGCCCCAGAGGGCTGGCGCGGCTCTGATCTCTTCCACCGGTTTCCGCGTCTGTCAGAGGAGCAGGGGACCCACCATGTCCCAGGTAGGAGGGCCCGGCGCCGGCTGTGTGGGGGCAGGGGCGGGGATGGGAACCTGGACACTGTCCTCTCTGACGGTCGTGTCTTGAGCGGAACTCCAGGTGTAAACAGGAGTCTCTGCAGCCCCTGAACGGCCACGGCCCAGGGAGGGCATCCCCCAGCCCCAGCTTGCCGACAAACCCCTATTTATCTTGGGTTCGGTGGTATTCCCTGGTTTGCCCAGAGGGTAGAGACGACATGTAGGATACTTCGAGTCTCTGTGTATGCTTTTGTGTGCGAGGAAGCTGACTATATGACTCGTTTGTAGCCGTGTATGTGTGACTGTGTGTGAGTGTGTGTGTACATACTCGTGAGGCTGGATCTGTAGGTACACAGTTCTGCCTGGGCATCTCCCCAGCAGGACAAATCTCTGTGCAGGGGGTGCAGCCTGTTGCCCCAGGAGCCCAGCCCAGACTTGGAGACCAGGGATTCCCTGCACCTGTCCCCAGGGCTTAGGAAGGAGTGAGGCCTCAGACTCGTGGGCGCCTGGGGCTGCCAGGATAAGCACGGAGTCTGAATATCCCTAGTACTGGAGGGACAGACAGAATAGCAGGCTAAGTGGAGGGCTCTCCTTGCTGCCTGCTCCATGGGGGGGTGCTCACTTCAGACTGACTTCATGGGGATCTGATTCTACTACCCTATTCCCACCCCCAAAACACACAAGGTAAATGCGGGCAGCTGGGGAGAGAGAGAGGCAGGCTCTAAGGGACCCCTTGCCACCCAGTGAGCAGATCATGGAATTCACCCCTTGAAATCCACCTCAAAACCAGTCCCTTTCCCCTTTGCCCTTTGTGCCCAGGCCTGAGTCTGGCCAGGCAGGCAGTATGAGGCCACAGTCCCCGAGCTCCCAGTCTGTGGGAGAAGGACAAAGAGACTTGGGGGTGGGGGGTGGAGTACAACTGGGAAGCCTTCCTGGAAGAGGAGTGGCGCCTTCAATTGGCTTGAGCTCAGTGACCAGTGAAGAGGGATCTCAGGGCCAAGGCACAGAGGTGGGAAGGGGCTTTCAGCCTCAAGGCCTGGGGTTGTAAGATGAGGCTCTGGGCTCTCCAAGGCTGGTGCTCAGGAGGCGCCCATCAAGAAGAAGTGCCCCCCGGTGAAGGAGGAAGATCTGAAGGGGGCCCGGGGGAACCTAGCCAAGAACCAGGAGATCAAGTCCAAGACCTACCAGGTCATGCGGGAGTGTGGTGAGTATCCTCCCGGGCAGTGGGGGTGGAGGGCATGG